ACTCAAGCTGCCCTTTCCCTCGGTAAGCAGCCTTTTCTCTGCTAGGTGGACCATGCAGACGAGGACTCTCAACCTGCCAAAATCAGTACACACGTGTCAGATAGGCTGCTCTTAGAAGACAGGGCAAGCAGCACCTGTCAGCCTGTTCCTCTAACAGTGACAACTACAGAGTAGTGCTAATGCTTCACAAGCAGCCCAGAACAGGCTGCGTGGCTTGCTTATGGACAGGGAGAGGCTTACACAATTAAACCGAGATGGTTTTAGTCGCATGTAACTTACCTGGAAACAACCTACGCAAACTGCACACTGTGGAAGGCCTGTTGAAAACATCAAGTAGAAGCCACTTCACCATCAAAGACTTCGACACAGACCGAGAAAGACAGAGCTCCCTCCACTGCGGAGAGTCTACACCACCTCTGCGCCTGAACGGCCAGTGCTTTGGGCCACGTGGCATGCTGACAAGCACTGCAAGTCTCTTTCATTTCAAGAAAATGCATAACTTTACTCCAAGTCTCTACCTTGGAGTCACGCAGATAGCATATTTGACTTACTATATAGGGCAAACACTAAAATGCACAAAAGAAAGGTTACACTGCTGTACAGACAGATCCCAAAGCGTTCACTTCTTTGGGAAAATAAGGCACACGACAGCCTCGTGCTTAGTGAACTATACTCTCAGAACCACTGCATCTCAATCAATGACAGTTTTTCTCCCTGAGGGATTTTCTTACACAGTGGCCAGGTAGGTACTTCCAGAAAGAATAAGTCTTCTACAGGCAACAATGACTAAGAAATGCTGAAAACACTGTTCATCTTTCACCAGGAATAACTGGTGTGATGGCATTCAAAGAAAAATATCCCAGATCACGATGGGGACTTCTTAGCATTTTCCTCCTTGTGCACTGACTGTACAAACGCCCTTATTTATTCAACTATTATAAACAACTCATTAGCCACACTAATCCCATAAAGCAAGTGGTGCATTAGTGGTAGGGATCCGCCATCTACTATAGGAAATGCTACACTGCCTGTCTCTAAAAATACCTTATTTATATTATGCCAGTCCGTTGCCAGCTTCTATGCAAAAAGGGCAAATTCTTACTTAGTAAGAGAATGGTTGTAAGCAGACAAGTCATGTGGCAGATATTAATATACTCATGAGAATTTCCACAGAATGAAAATTTCAACTGATTTTCTTAGTAGTGATACTGAAAGTTTACCTGCACAAGAGGTGCTTGTATGGTTCATAGCAAGTTTGTCAAAAACAAGTATCTGGATTAAAACACCCAAAGCTGCAGTGAAAGGTTGTCCATGGCTCATCTGAAGAACTAATCTGTACTAGTCAAAAATGTCAACAGTTTCTCAGGGGGAAAAAAACAAAACAAAACCAAAAAAACCCCACAAAGCCAGAAAGCCTTGGAGTTCTACCTTCTAATAGCAACAACTGTACCAACAGCCACTGATAGGCGATATGGTCTTACTAAAATGCACTGATGGGTCCATGAAATATCCTATGCCAAATGAAGTATTCCAAAGATGGAAGAATTCTAACTGCATCTCCTCCAACTGCCTTGCCTCTAACATTGAGGGCAAGATCTTCAAATACAATGACTAAGCAATTTTTTCTGACAAACCATTTACAGAAAAGGAGTAATACTGAACCTTAAGATCAAAGCATACAAGCAAGTGATTCACCTTCCTTTCTTGTATGCTCGCAAGACACAGGCTAAACACAAACACAACATTAGGTGTTTTGAAAAGCTCCACCTGCGTTTGAGTAAGAGAACTTGCATCAAGTGGTAAGGTGAGGTTACACAACCCTGAACAACTGGATGCGACTCGCTCTTAGATAAGAGTCCTCCTTTACTAGCTCGAGACCTTTGTCTATCAGATCGTGTCAGGAAATGACTAACAGCACACCATCTCCCACTGCTGCCACCTCTCACCGACTCCAGCAAGCTAAAGCATTAGCAGGACAGCAAGCAAAACAGAATACGTATTTCCCAGTGCTCCCCTGCAATTCAAAACCTGAATGCTGACAAGACTGAGGGGAACAAAACAAAACCAAAAAACACAAGCTAGACTAGTAGGCAACTGTCTATCCTCAGGGTCATATAAAGTGCCACGTGCTGGAAAAAAGAAGAAACAGCAAGGAGCTGGCAACATGCAAAGCACAACGCCCGCAGAAACAATTATGCTGGTGCCAAATCTGGTCCTATCTGAGCTTTCCAGCCACTGCTGAGTTGACAGCACGTGCTGAGATGCCGGAGCTGGCAGTGGTGATGCTGAGCACAGCTAGTGGCCACTAGTCACCTTAAAGCAGTAGCACCAGGAGCTGTTTAGTGGCATGAAGAGTAAAATAACAAGTATATAGTGCTTTTTATCGAAACCACAGCAAATACTGGAAAACAACTCCCCGTTCGCTGTTTTGCCCAGCCTGCGGTGACACCAGACTTGCAGGGTGCTGCAGGCCACCACCACGCTGTGCTGGCTGGGCTCCAAGGCCCCAGACAGCGAGCAGGAGGAACAGGGAACAGGTACACGTCCTGGCTCTGGGGAACCAGCACAACCATAAGGACGCAGCTCCCTGCCAACACTGACTGTACTTCAATTTTAGCAGACTTACAGCTTTCCAGATTGATGATGAGAAATTTCGAAACTCAGAGAGCGTAACAGATTTACATCCCAGTCTATAGAAATAGCTGAATAATACACCAAGAGCCTTAACACAGACATATGCAGAAAAAGAACGAAAAAAACTATCGCATCTCTCAAAATATGGACTGACAACAGAAATGTGCTAATTACTATCTTAAGCATGCATGAATTCTCAACTCTGATGTTATTAAAAATAATTTAATCATATATTTTAACTATTATGATAGCTTATGCACGCTATGGTCATCTCAAAAAAACAATCTGTATTTCATTTATTTATATAGTATTTCACACATGGTTATACTTCGCAAATGACATCGCACAAATTACTACTTTTTCACCAATAGTTTAATCTGGTGGTGTTGTTTAATCTGGTGTTGTTCCTCCCCTGTGACATCATGTGGCATAAACATAATAAGGATTTTAGGACATCCTGTAGCATCCAGAGCAGCTCCTTATCATGGCAACAATGGGAAAGTATTTCACTAGACAGAGGCAAAATTAAACTTTAGAATTGGGCCCAAATAATACTCTCACTGACAAAGCAGAAGTTACTGACTTCTCAGAGAACTATTCTACTAGAGGTAAACGGGAGGCTTGTTTTGGAGAGAGAAGACCTGGTAAAGAACAAGGGTTCCCACCAACACTGCATGAAATCCAGAGGGTTGCCCACGGAAAATAGTATCTAAGTAATTCCTGTCTGTTTCTCACCTTCAAAGCGTAAAAGGTTGGCTTTCTGGCAAGCTCTGTATGTTCTGAAAACAGCTTCTGACAGACAAAAGTGATGCCCTAACGCAGAGCTCCGTCCCCATGACAGGCTCTTTACGCACATGGCTGAGAGGATCCAAACACACCAAGAGCGCTGGTTTAAGCTATACTGCTACAGGAAACGCATGTTAGTGGGAAACAACGAGGTGCCAAAGGTCAACAGAAAGCCAGCATCTCCCTTCCCAGACATCCACTGCAATACGGAATTATGGATCTTTCACAAAATTTCCTAGCAGTGTGAAGCCTGAAGAAATCGCTCCTGACACTGTCAAAACTGCACTAACGATCTTCAGGAAAGGCTGTGGTGTTAGCACATTCAAAAGCCTTAACACTGCCCAGCACAATGCTCTGTGTGACAGACCACGTCTTGACCAGAAACAGTTTAAGCACATGAAAAATACAACTGGCACCAACACCTAAACTATAGCAAATTCCTCCCTGATGGCTGTTTTGGAAACGACACTCCCAGCAGAATACAACTGTTATCTGTATATATATATATACACACAATCTCAACCATTCACACCTTGCTCTGCTGCTTCTACTGTCAAGATCTTCTGCTTGCCACAGACATGCCCTTCTGTCCCATATACTTGCTGCCAGAAAGAGCCGAGAGGCTGAGAGCAGAGGGCAACACACAGATAATTACTACAAACCTGGAACATTTTCAAGGAGAATGTTTGCTTTTGACTTTTGGGGATTAAAGCCGGTCTCCCATAAACAAGCATGAAAATATCCCAAGGAGAGCTACGCTACTAATGAAGATTTTCTTGCTTCTTGTCCGTTGCTTCAGCCACTTCTGCTGCCATTGGATGAGCATAAGGAAGGCCTTCCTATTACCTGGCTCTCTGCAGGTGTGATTAAATCTGCCTCTTGCTCCCCAAAGTCCCCAGGTGGACTATCATACCTCAGTTAGAGAGAATTTCTCAGAATGAAAGAGCCAGTAAGAAGCGATTCCTTTGGGCATCGCAACAGCATTAACACAAAACACAGTAAAAAGCATCAGAGTAGCAGAAAGCAATTTAGTCCTCATGGAGGCAACTTGTTTGCAATGCATTCCAAACATTTTAACCGTGTGTATCTGCCTGGGTTTAAGTCAGAAGACGGCACAGGCAACAGCTGCACTGAACCATCACCACAGGAGAACAGCACTGGCTGCAAATTAACTGGTTGAGTTCATCTCTTATTACTCTTTTTGTTCTCTTCACAAAGCATGGCAGCAGACAACCGGGTATGATTGCAACACTAATTTGGCAGCGTGAGCTGCAGGTCTGGATGAGACGGC